CAGCCTACGCCGTCCCCAGCGACTCACAGCAGCCCAGCTCCAGGTTGAGCTGTTGTTCAGCATCTTAGCTGTAGAGGGCAGTGTCACTGGCCCTAATATGTGGGATCCGAACCGGGGCCCTATGGCATCCCAAGCCAGCTTTTAACCAACGCGCAACTTGGCCAGCCCCTCTACTTTTTTTTAACATGTCTTCCTTATAATAAAAATTCTCTATCTTAAGAAAAAACTCCATCATATCAGTTACTTTTTTTCCTTGAAGCTCTCTGTTTTCCTGCTTTAACTAAACTTGCTGTTTTTAGATTCATTTTACAGATTTCATCCTAGCACTTGCTTTGACTGCTCTTCTATGTAGAGTCAATTTTTTTTGGAGTATATCTTTCTCTTTTTTGGCTATTTTTATTTTTTGATAACATAGCCTTAAGAAAGATCCTAAGAAAGAATATGTATGAGGGAATTTTTTCAAGTATTTACATGTCTAAAAGTATTCTCACATTTAATAGATAGTTTAGTTAGGTATGGATGTTTATTTGAAATTATTGCTTTATACAAAACTAATTGGTCTGTTAATAGAAAATCATTCTTGTTTATTTTTTAATTTGTTGGGTGTTGCACTTGCCTATTCTAAACACTTGTTGCTGTGTGTGTGTGTTTATGTGTGTGAGAGACTTGAAAGTAAGAGATATATTCTTTAAAAACATTTTTCTTGAAATTAACCCTTTAAACTAATTATGGACTTCTCTTAAGTCAGTTTTATGTACAGAGGGTTGATTTTAAGAATTGATTTTTCAGGGGAAAGATGGACCCATTGTGAATGTGACTGTAATCAGAGGGGACCACTCTGCAGTTCTTTCTATGGCGTTTACATATGTCTCGTCTTTAAATCCAGTGATCATGTCTCTGAGCAGAAACAGAAGCAACATAGCAGGTAAAATACATGATTCTGCACAATCTTTTTATTTTAAGACCATTGGGCCTATAAAAAGGGAAAAAAATGCCATATACATTTTATCGAAGATAGTGTTATAGTTTGGATCAAAGTTATTTTTTCTGAAAGCCAGGAGACTTGTATTCTCATCTTAGGCATTATTGAATAAATATCCTCATATACATTTTCCTTCTGTAAAATTGCGACCATTTCTCATCATGAAAATGACATGGGAATTCAAAAGTAACAATTCAACAAACATCTATTGAGCACCTACTATGTGTCAATAGTAGCACAGACATATACCAGACTTTAACTCTTGTCACTAATTTATACAACTATTAACCTCAGTTTACAGGTGAGGAAACGGAGAGACAGAGAGAATAAGTAACTTGCCTCAGTTGCTATCTTCAGTAAGTAACAGAGTTGGGATTTGAACCAAGCAGCCTGGTTCCAGATTTCAAGCAGTTAGCCACTTTATTGTTTACTGTAAAATACTGTTTTTGGCATCATATTCTATTGAAGCAGTTATGTGGTATGATTAGAGAGCAGGATGTTCTAATCAACCAAGAATTCTTGTTCTTTGAAACACGCTGTATATAAAAAGAATGCATTCTTGAGCACCCAACTACATGAAACAATTTAATCTTTCTTTGATAATTCAGATGATATGACAGGAAGGAATTACAACAATTTATTATCATGTCATCATATAGATTTAGAAAAGTGCCAGGTAACACACCTTTCTGGTTAATTGGATGTCAGATAACAGAGGGTTTTATTACTAATGACCATCACGTTTCCCAAAGAAAAAGCCAAGACTCGGTTTTTCTGGTGCTGTTTTCATTTTCCATTGCTCAAGAGTACATAAATAAAGTGAAATGTCCTTTAGCTTCTCAATATTATTCAGCTCAGATAGTGCAGAAGAAGCATTTGCTGCCTCAGGCGACCAAGGTGTGTAAAATTCCTTAGTGGTATAGTTTCTTCCCAGTGAAGTAAAAAAGGGAGGAGGGAAGTCCATGTTGTATTCAGATTTCAGTGATTTGGGCTTTTAATAAAATTTCCTATCTGTAATGAAAAGAATAAATACACTGCATCAGTGCCTCAAAGGCCCCTAGGATTAGCTTGACAACTGACCAAGAGCCCAAGCAGTTCGTGTCATTGATATATACAACATGATGCATTATTTGCAGAATTTACACTTGCATTTAAATCTTTCTACAGGCAGAATAAAGAAGAACGTATTATAAAACCCACAGAGAGTAGCAGCCTATTGGGAAAGTCTCTTTTGGAAGTTGGAGGGCAGCACATCTCCATCCAGGAGATGATTGTGTTGGTGGTGACCATGAACCTAAGATATAATTGAAGAAAGAGAGGAGAAAGGGCAGAGGAAGGGGAGGGAGAGTTTGATGTACAGTTAGTTTGGTTTTTGCAATCAGACCTCACTAGAGCTGAATGAATTCTTGCTCAGCCACTCCTCAGGCAAGATATTTAACTTCCTTTATTTTTAGTTTCTTTAATTGTTAGGTAACAGTAATTCTTTCAAGATTATTGTAAAAGTTGCAGATAAAAGTAGGTAAAAGTACCTAGCCCAGGAACCAACACAGAGCAAGCACTCAATAAATGCTTTGCTGAAGTTAACGCCATCATTCTGCCGGATACTGTGTTATATTAATGAGCCAAAGATGGCCTCTGTATATTGGCCTGATATTATTTACTTTTTCACAGCAGGCTGGGAGGCATTAACTCAAAAGCCTGCCAATGGCAATTGCAAATTCTATGTACCCAATTATTTTAAATATAGTCTCCCAAAGCAGATTTTTAACCTTTTAGAGCCTGCCTGCTTTGCATGCCCTGTAAAACTGCATCCAACATCTGCTAGACATAGATCAGATAAACCTGGGAGCTATAAAGGACTCTAAGCCACTGCCACCCTTCATAGCTCTCTGACCCAAAGACTACCCACCGGGCTGCTGAGTGGCATCTTCTAGATACATAAGACCCCTCTCTGATCTCCCATTCTGCCAGGAGTTTCCTTGCCTTCCTCCTCTTCTCCGTGGTGGTCTTTTATTGTTGCCTCCAAGAGGTCTCATGCTGTGAGATCTTTGCACCTAGGTGCACCCATGAAAACACCACCCATAGAAAGCTTGTTTGTGTGCTTCTGCCATCTTGTGGCCATGTCTTTTTCCTTGCTCTGCCCTGAAAGTCCGCAAACTCACTACACTGAGGCTTCAGACTTCACAGTAGAATTAAGGTTGGGAAGACATGAAGAAGTAAAGAGGATGCAGATCGAGGAAGAAAATAAAGTTAATTGAGGGCTTTTGAATATTGTACTATACCAGAGGCTGTCCTAGGATATCTAACTTAATCCTTACAACAAACCACATGGGGTGGGCTCTGTTACCTCCTTACCGATGAAAAACCCAAGACTTTGAGAGCCCAGAGTGGTTAAATAGCAGAGCACTGATTTAAATGTAGTTTCAGCCTTCTCAACACACCACAATCCCTTCTCTTTCACATTTCTCTTTTAAGCAACCTCTTCTCCTCTTCATCTCATTGTCTATAGTATCCTGCAGATTCCAGCTCTGTAGTATTTTTCAAACATTAGCAGCTAAAGGCATTTTAGAGGTGTTTTAACCCAAGCTGTGTCCCTATGGACACACTGAGACACAGGAAATGTAAGTATGTTTATTTTCACTCCTGCCATTGCATTCTTGATTTTTGGCTCCAGTTGTCTGCAGAGTGGATTTTCCTTCCTTATCTCGTCAATCGATCCTCTAGATTGGAAAAATAGCTTCAATCATATTCTTTCCTTGCTTAGAAAACTTTGGAGGTCTCCACTGCCCACTGAATTAAGTAGAGACCCCGGGGTATTGGCTTTCTTGGTCTTCATCCACGGAACCACCATCAAATAGGCCTATTCCCACAGAGTCCCTAACTGTATGTACATGTATCTGGTCTTCCAGAAAGCCACCCGATCCTCTTTGCTTCTTTCTAAAATTCTGGATGATGAAATGAGAAAGTGCTTTGAAAGACTTTGAGTAAAACTGTGAGGTTGTTAGAATCAAATTGTAAATCCCTGTTTCACTATCCCTTCCTCTTGGGATTTAGCTTTCAAGTTGAATTTCAAGCACCGTCTTGCCCATAAGGTCTTTCTTAATATTTTGAATGATGCTCTTACTTGAACAACCCTCCTGCTTAATTATCATCTCCCTGATGGCATGTCTTGTAACTGAAGCTATTTCAGCACCTATTTTACCACCTGTGAGGTCTCTTTGAGGGCAGAGTCTGTGTTTAACTTATTGGTGTGTCCCTTGTGACATACTACTCATGGTACTCAATAATATTTGAGGTAAAATAAATTGAGTTAGCGTGTTTATAATACACATGGCAGTTTAGTAGAGTTTCTAATTAAACTAAAAAGGTATTGAAATATAAGAGAAGACTGGGCTCAGGCATTGACATTTCCATTAATTAGCAATGAGACCTTGGCTGCTGAACCTTAGTTTCCTCAAAAGCTAAATGTCGGTCTTACTAACTGCCCTGTATATGTCATCAGGATAGTGTGAGGATTGAAGGGGTAATGTATGTGAAAGTGCTCTGCAAACTGTGAAGTACTATACTCATATACAGCATTACGATTAGGTTCAGTGCATACTGCAGCTATAGCTTTAAACTCCTATTAGTAGACACGTGGATGTTAAAAAATAAGGGCATGGGGTGCTATTTGTTGGTCATGAAGACCATCAGCCCTCTAAACTACTTCTTAGCTTGCCTTTGCATGAAGATAAATTAGTGTGCCTCTTGAGTACAATTGTCCTGGCAAATTTGCTTTTTATGCTCTTGAGATTATAGGCTGTAGCTCTATTCAAAGACTTGTTAGAAGTTTCATGAAAAAAAGTTAGGTTTGCATTGAAACTCTTAACTAGGGTCTTAGGCACCGGGCTGACCATGTACTTAAGTGTAAAAGATCGTTGTAGAATTGAATGGGTGGTTGAGGCCACAAACCCACCTCAGAGAGGCTAATGAATTCTTTTCAACACAGGAGGTGAGGCTCTTTTCATTGGAATGGCACTGCTGGTGGACTACACAAATTTGGATGTGGAAGTCCACATCCAGGATACCGCGGCCTGGGTTCATGCAAAGACTGCTCAGGGTGTGGAGGTGGAGCTGCCCCCGCTGCCTGCTGGCCTCCATAGAATCTCAGTCTCCATCAATGGGGTCGACATTCAGTCAGAAGGGTAAGGTGGACACTTGTCATTAGTTTTACGTCTGTTTGATGGTTTAGTAGTTCAGTTGAGGAATTCTAGTTTTGAGTTAGGTCTTTCTTCTTCTGAAGTTAGGCAATAAACATGGGAATCATAAAATTTGAACAAGTCTTAGAGACCATACAGACCAAAACGGAGACCTTTCCGGAATTAAGATGTCATGGCTCTTGTTTGGGGTAGGGGTGAAGTGGGCATCGATATGTGAAGGGGGAGGAATGTGCTTTAATAAGGGTCTGTAATGAAATGAAATAAGACCTTGAATAAGATTGTCAGGCTTTGAATAAATGGCTTACAGTTATTACAGAAGCCATATTCATATCCTCTTAGCCTGAAGTCCCCCTGCCCAGTATTTCTCTAGAAATTCCATCTCCTCATTCCAGAAAGTTAGCTAAACTGTATAGGACTGATGCCACCACATGATACTGGCCCAGGAAAATGTCCCACACAAATCTTTTCCCCACCATTTCTTTTCTTCTCTGTTAGGCAGTGTATTTATACTTGCTCTCCATTACCGCTTTCTTCTTCTTCCCCAAATACATATACTTCACCTCTTCTGTCTTACTCCATCCTTTCTCTTTTTCTAGCTCTCTGAGTTATTTCATAGCAATCTCCCCATTTTCTGTAGGGTTGATCCTCACATCCTGTACATCACAGACGTTTTCAGCATTGAGCCTTGCTGTGGATCCCTTCTGGGTGAGTGGCTCTGATGTGACTGGTATCATTTATCCAGTAAGTCTACTTGCTGGATGTTCAGATTTTGTTTCTGGATTAATTAACCAGTGAGGTTAGAAATGGGTAGCAGGGAGAGGAGTTTTCCTTCTGCTCCAGGAACTGGGTGGTGTACTTTGAAGGGCAGGAAATCTTGGGGATTCCTTAGCTCAGTAAGCTCAGGAAATTATAGAATTTTTATGAAAAGGGGATATTTTCCATTTGTAATAGAAAGAGGCTGAAACATCTAATGGCTAACATGCCTTGAGTGGATAGTAGAAAAACAAGGAAAGAGCTTCCTGCATTATTATTTTAGATACTACCTGTGCAAGGAGAAGAAGAATGAGGTTTGGTGTCTTCACTTTCTTCTAGGGATGGACCCAGAAGTAGTCAAAAACACAAATGCCAATATGGGCAATGTAAAGACAAGGCAAATAGAGGCGTCTAGAAAACTATTCATTTTCAGAAAACATTGAAAGCTGAATACTTGCATGTGAATAATCGCTGTGATAGTGTATGCAATAGCACATTATCCTTTTTGAGTATAGTAAAATCCCTTTTTTAAAAATACTTGGCTATACCACAGATCTTTAATGATATGGGGTATGTTGCTCCAACTCGGGTCCTAAAGGCGGGTTTGATTGTCCCTCAGTTAGAGTGTGAGACAAAGTCTATGCATATAGCAGTAAATCACACACAACACACACACAAGCATGTTTCAGTATTTCAATGGCTCTTGATAGGTCATATATATATATATATATATATATATATATATATATGCATATATATATACACACACACATACACAACTACATAATATGTGGAATATTGGAGTATTATGCAGAATAACATAGAAGATAACTAGAAGGCTTCAACAAATTTGATTTTTCATTGGTGTGGAAGTTGAATATATAGAATAGTATACATATACTCCACATACTAATACATAGAATAACATGAAATAATATGTCAGATAATATGGTAGGTAATAAGAAGATTGAGAAATGTGATTTTTTATTAATGTATAAATTTTATATATATATAAAATATACATATGCTCTACATAATATAATAATAATGTAGACTAATATGTCAGATAATACAGCAGATGACAAGAATACTTCAAGAAATTTGATTTTTCATTAGTGTATAAGTGGATAGAAGTAGTGGCTTCTAGGATCTGTCAATGTACTTGAAAATTTTGTCGTAAATATTATAAACATCCTTCCTATATAACAATTTAGTTTTACTATTATGTGAATTTCAGTCCATCTGACTCCTGCCAAAATGATCACAAATTTAATATTGATGGAGTGAGGTGAAATAATTGGTTTCACTAACACTTAACCCCACCCTCGACTTAATTGCTCTGGGGCTTACACAGGTGTGTGAGTTCCTAGTTTTAAACAGCAGCTTTTAAATTTTGTTTTTGATATTCATGTTTTAGGTGGAACAATCATCAGCATCTCAGGAATGGGGTTCAGTACGGAGCCAGGTTTAGTTTGGGTGCTTGTGGGCAATCAGTCCTGTGACATTGTGAACTCAACGGAGACGAATATCTGGTGTGAGACCCCGCCTGCCTCCCTGCAGCCTGAGGATGACGTTCTCACTGTCCCAGCTCCCGTGGAGGTCTGGGCTGGCAACGTGTCCTTCACCCAAGGACCTGCACCCAGGTTGGTGGGGAAGAACTTTACCTTCACATATGAGGTGGCCACAACACCATTGGTCACTGCTGTGCAAGGAGAAATCACGAATAGCAGCCTGAGACTGTCTATGGAAGGATGTAACCTGTCCAACTCGGTGATTCTTCTGGGGGACTTGACCTGCCATCTTGAGACACAGTTTTTCAGATGCAACATGAGCCTGTTTGGGTGCTCCTTTCCTCTTCACAGTTTGGAGGCAGGCATCTATCCTCTTCAAGTACGTCAGAAGCAGATGGGGTTTGCCAACATGTCTGCGGTGCCCCAGAAATTTGTGGTGACACCTCGGATAACGGCCATCTTCCCAACTCATGGGTCTGCTTGTGGCGGGACGGTACTCATGGTGAGGGGGTTAGCTCTAAATTCTAGGAGGAGGTCAGTTCAGGTTGATCTTTCGGGTCCTTTTACTTGTGTGATTTTGAGCTTGGGGGACCAGACTGTCCTCTGCCAGATTAACCTGGTGCGCGACTCCTTGCCTGGCTCTTCCTTTACTCTAAAGGTCACAGTCCTGGTCAATGGGCTACGCAGTGAGTGTCAGGGGAATTGCACTCTTTACTTGAGGGAAGAGCAAACTCCTGTAGTGGACGCCTTGACCACTAACACCAGTGGGTCTTTGACTACCGTGCTGATTAGAGGTCAGAGGTTAGGCACCACAGCTGATGAACCAATGGTGTATTTGGATGACCATCTTCCTTGCATTGTAACTTTCTTTAATGCAAGCCATGTGGCATGCTGGATAAATGACTTGACCCCAGGACACCACTACCTATCAGTATTTCATACAAGAGATGGATATGCTTGTTCTGGTAATGTTTCCAGGCACTTCTACATCTTGCCTCAGGTGTTTCATTATTTCCCCAAGAATTTCAGCAGACATGGTGGAAGCCTCTTGAGCATAGAGGGCACAGCCCTGAGAGGACAGAACAGCACGTCAGTCTACATTGGCCAGCAGGCCTGCCTGACAGTGAACATCAGCGCTGAGCTCATCCAATGCATCGTTCCTGCAGGGAACAGCTCTGTGGTCCTGGACATAGAGATAGATGGACTTTCATACCAGATGGGAGTCATTGGCTACAGCAGCACATTCACCCCAGAACTGCTCTCTATGTCTCACACTGATGACATTTTAACCTTTGTGGTGGCCCACATCTCAGGAGCTGTGAACGTGGACATTTTTATTGGGATGTCACCCTGTGTGGGCATCACTGGCAACTGCACAGTTCTCCAGTGTGCGGCCCCATTCCTCCCTGCCGGGGAGTACCAAGTCAGAGGTTACGACTGCATCAGAGGGTGGGCCTCATCCACCCTGGTGTTCACATCACAAGTTACTGTTACAGCAGTGACAGAGAACTTTGGTAAGTCAAGCATATAAGACAGAGCGCGTTCTTTATATGAGTGGACTAATAGCTACTCTCACTACTACTCTAAGAGGCAGGCACTCAACATCAATCTGAAGGAGAGAGAAGCCTGATTGGCCTCTTACAGTCTCAGTTTCCGCCTGAAACTTGTTTTTCTCATGTGCCATGTATGAGGCTTTGCTTTTTAATAAGGGAATTGTGCATATTCTCTAAGTGTGTATTGTATTTTAATTTGATACATTAAAGCAATTTAATTGGTGTTTTAAATTAAATAATACCATTTATAATAGCTCATGATTTGATCATTTAAGTAGAACATAAGTGCATCCACCTATTTTTGGACCTATGTGTTAATATAAATTATTTTAAACTTATTACATTTGATTAATTTTTATCATTTTGTAATATTTTACAGATGAATTCATACTCCACCAATAACTGAATGGAATAGATTATAGTGGTTGAACTTTTTTTCTCCTTTTATATATACTGAAGTTTGCCTTGCCTTTTCTTCCAACGATGGTTTCGGTTTCTGTTCATTTAAAGCCTTAATGCACTTGAGATAGCTCAAATTTGATTGTGATGCAGAAAGTATACAAGAAATTATGGGAGCCGAACCTTTAACTGATGAAGAGCTAGTCAAGTCTTCTCTTAGAACAAATTTGTCTGGCTTCAGCTGGGTGGAATACTATGAGGGTTGGAATTTTGGGTCCTCGTTTGTCAGTGACTTAATTGATTAACTTTCTAAGCCTCAGTTTGCTTATTTGATAAAGGGTTTTGGGCCGGATGGTCCCTAGTTCCCCTTTTGCTCTCTAAGATTCCATGACTTTTATAGCGAGAAAGCAAGGGTATGAAATGCACCCTTAAGCAAAGTGTTACTCTGGAGTTTGTCAGGTGGCTGTGTAAGTACCACCTAGACTTGATAATGAAGGCAGTAGAAATGGGAACTCTATCTTAGTGTGGACTAGACATTTACCACATGCCACATGTCTGAGAGTCCTGGTGACATTTACCTACATTGGTTCTCAGACTGAAGAAAACATGTTATCTGTTAAGAATTGTCATGCTTTTTACCCGTCAGAGACAGGCACTCGCATACAGTGCTGATAGGAGTGTGAAATGGTGCAACATTGTTTTGGAGAGAAATATGGCAATATTCATCAAAACTAAGTTTGCTTTTCCCTTGACCTAGAAATTCCACTTCTGAGCATTTGCAACAGTTTTCCCCAAATAAGTGTACTGTTCATTACAGCACCATTAATTATAGCAAGAGAGGATAAATAATAGAAGCATCAATCAATAGGAAAATAGCTAAATAAATTATGGCATAATCATCTAATGAAATTCTAAGTAGCTATTAAAATGATGAGTTAGGCCTACATATATAGACTTGGAAAAATGTCTATGTTATATCTTTAAAAAGACAAGTTGTAGAAGAATATGTGTAGAAAGATCTTTTTGTATAAAAAATATTTATGCTTAGAAAATTCTGGAAAGATTCATAAAATACTGTCTACATGGCTATTTCTGGGGAGTTAGATGGGTGATTAGGGGAACTTCTTTCATTTTATATTTTTTTGTATAAAAAACTTAAGAACTATAAAATAAGCATTCCTTTTCTTATAAAATTATTTTATTTTTTATAGATTGTTGAATATGATTGGGATCTGACAAACAAGGACCCTGTCTCTGTAGGCTAGAGCTTAGTGGGAATAAACAGGATATCAGGGACCAAAAGCCAGGTGTGTGGCTTTGGGAAGGCATAAAAAGAATGATGGGCAGCAAGGATGCATGGATTTGAATTTCGATTTAAGTAAAGAAAGGGAGGTTTGCCTCTATGATCGTGAACTTGTCATTTTCTTTTAAAGGCTGCCTGGGTGGAGGACTTGTGCATGTGTTTGGAGCGGGATTTTCTCCAGGGAACATCTCAGCTGCCGTGTGTGGCGCTCCCTGCCAAGTCTTGGCTAACGCTACAGTGTCTGCCTTCAGCTGCTCGGTTCTTCCCCTGGATGGTTAGTAAACAGGCCATATTTTTCCTTTAAAGAGGAAACATGAAAATGATATTCTTTGGTTAACTCCGTTTTTGTAATTAATGCTGTACTGATTTCTAATTTTTCTGTGTGTTCCTGGGAAAAGAATTTCTCTACTCCCCATCTAGAATGGTAGTTAGAATCTGGGACTGCCTGTTAAAATGGTTCATCACTTTTGTTATATTAATGGCAACAAAAAAATTTGTCACCTCTGTTCTTGATTGCATTCCCATGATGATGGAGAAAGTAATTCTGAGTTCTGAATTTTGGTTTCAATGCCAGCTTTAGATACCGTGGAGAAAACAATCTGAGGGTCTTGTTCTGGGTTGGGGCTGCTGAAAAATCTGCTTACTGGAGGTACTAGCGAAGGGATTAGGTCATCAAGCTAGCTTTTTCTTGTATATTTGCCTAATATGTGTAGTTCTTAAATTATTATAGGCAAAAGGGCCAATAGTAACATTGTCCTCTTATTCTGTAACGTTTAGGTAATTATTTGAGCCCTTACTCAGTAAAACACTATGATCTCTCACTGCTTTAAGCTTCTTCGAAAAGAAGGTGCAAAGCTTTGATAGTTCCATGATGGGGCTTTACAACACAGGATAGCTACCCATGGAGCTTCAGAAAACAAGAAAAGTCAAAGGGAAGAAATTGCCATTATTACTACAGGAACAGCATAGCCAGGTGACTGTCTTGTTTGCGAAATCATAGATCTTGTACCCGTGTGCTTAAAAACCATTTTTACACATGCTTTCTGTATAATGTTTTAAGTTATATGCCTAATATGTGTTTGCAACTTGAATGTGGGTGAAGGATTTACAAAGTATCTTCGTCTGAGCTTGGACAAAAATTCCATGATGGAAAATGCTATTGTGCTGGTAGTTTACATTGGATTGTCTTAGACAAGAAGGAAGCGGAGGAGAAGGAGAGGGAGAAAGAGGAGAAACAATTCTTGTTTAAAATACTAGCAATTGAATTTTCTACTGTCATCATATATAAGCAGAACATTGTGGAAGAGAGATTATTCCACTTAAAATTCCACAATGGGAAACTTAACAAATTTAATTAAAAAGTTTCACAACAGGAAACTTAAGATGCAATAAAAGATTTAAGATGTCTGTTTCATTCTTCACTTTACCTCCTGTGCATAAAAGAGTGCTGCCAGTGTATGCATAAAAGAGTGCTGCCTGCGTATGCATAAAGTCAACATTTGTTGGAAGAATAACGAAGGAGTTAGAAAACTGTGGCAACAGAAAACCAAGATTCCACAAGTATAGGTTCTAATATTTAACTAATACTGCTACAGTTTTTTTTTTGTTTTTTTTTTAAGGCTTCCACATACATACTGCTTAAGTTAACTTTTTAAGTCTCTTGGTATTATATCAAGACAATTTCAACTAGAAGTACAAGGTAAAAATCACTGAGGTTTCAGGGTCAGTTAATTGTGACATTGGAAGTTTGATAATCCCTAGGATAGGAATAATAAAAATTATTATGCTTTAAAAGATTTGATTAAGTTTTAGAACAGGACTTCTCAACATTGTGATTTTTAAGAGGAAAGTAAATTGGGAGCTGTAACTCTTATCATGGCCACTAGGTGTCACCAAACACTCACTGATTATGCAAGAGCTGCTCATTCATTCTAGGGAAATGGGTAAATAGACTTATTTTCCTCTCATTAAAAAAAAAAAGTCTTTCAATTATAGTGTCTAAAGATGAAGAAAAAACTGTTCAACACCAGCTCTGTTGGTTTCTTACTTATGATCTAGATGGTATTCAGGGATTCTATCAAACCCCTGAAATTAAAGAAAACATTTTGAGTATATGATTGTGTATTTTTTTCTTCTTCTATGACATAGGTCTCTAAAGTGCATCAAATGAGCAAAGGGAGCGAGTCTCACAAATTATTGGAAACCACTAATAATTTCCCTACTTTCAGAGAGGACTGCGTATAACCAATTTAATTAAGAATCTGTTATATTTTTAAAAGATTTTTTAGAGGATGATTTCAAAGCAGCAACACTTATAGGTGTTGCACAGTTGCCATTTTCAGAGAAATCCATCCTTTTGTCTAACGAATGCTCCCCCACCCTACTTTTTTCAGCCTGAATCAGCTGGCTGTCCTTTGGAAAACTAAAGAATCTCAGTCCTTCTAAACCAGTGGTTCTCAATGATAACACTATTGAGGATTACATTGTTTTGAGAATGTAATATTATTGTTATTGTTTTTGCTGGAGCAGCAGCAGCAGCAGCAACAGCATCACCTGGCAGTTTGTTAGAAATGTGAAGTCTTGGGACCTACTGAATCTGAAACTTTCCAACCAGTAAACATTTGGGTATTTCTCATCTGAGCCCTCTCTGAATTCTGACATTCTTTTTTAATTTGAAGCCCCAAACTAGGTAACGCCTCTGTGGAAGCAAGTTCTGGCCATATTGGGTAGCATCATAAAATGCCTGCATGTAATCTGGTCGCATATTTGTTTTTAAAATTCCACAGCTGTCTTGCTGGTTTATAATCTCTCTGTTACCTACTATTCTTCCAAGGTGGTTTTTTTTTTTTTTTCCCCTTTCTTTCTAACATGACTGTGCACAGCTGGACTGTCCTCATATTTAGATGATTTCTTTTTTTCTTCTGTGGTTTACTGCCTTAGTATTTTCATTTGGTCTTTTGTTTATTTATCTTAACTTCTCTAATTTGCTAAGGTCACTTTGAATTCTGACCCTTGCTTTGAGTTTTATTTCTTAGTTTGACTTTGTACAATGAAGAAAGCAATGTTTCACATTCCGGGATGTAGATGATAGCCTAGAACTCAAACTTCCCTAATTATTGTTTTGCTTGTTCTGATACCACAATACAAATGTGTTTTCTTTTCATCAGTGGGGCGGGGGCGTTAAATGTGCAGCTCTAAGAAAGCGCTGCTGCTGCCTTTGGTGCCATCTATCCTTACCTTTCTCCCAAACTGCGCTTCTAACAGCAAAAAAGAATTTTACTTTTTCACGTGATGTATCCCTGAAAGACCCTGTTAGGTTAAACCAATACTTTGTATTTATAAAATCAGCAAGATCTTTGATCTTTGAATCTCTTGCATTTATACCTTGAATTATGCCACATGACTTTTTCATGGAAACTAACAGTCCCAGGAGGCATGGAAAGCTAAAGTGATTAAGGTCACACAGCTATTTAGTGGCAGAACCTTGAGTAAAATCCATGGATTCTGATCTCAGCCCTGGGTACTTTTCATAATCCACCTTGTCAATTTGCATCTACCTAATCACCCATAATGAGTTCATTATTTTATAGGTGTTGAGCCTGTTTTGATTTGCCCTAGGGCTTACTAACTGGAAAGTTCTTATATTTGGTCTGTCCATTTGAGAGTCTTTGTCAGCCATTTTAATTGCTATAATTCATTTGGCACACCTTCACAGAGAACCTACTATGTGGCAGGTGCTTTGGAATATGTAACAGCAACAATTTGTGTGTGATTGAGTAACTGCAAACCCTCTCGTATGTACTTATCTCACTTATTTCTTGCTGCATGCAGCAACGTGATGTAGGCAGGGCTTAGGTTCAAGCCCACAATTTTTATTTCTTATTTCTTTTTTTATTCTCATTAAGATTTTCAGACATGATCGCAGCAAAACCATCTCACGTACAGACTTGTTTATCTTCCTCTTAAAGGTTATTGCCAGTCGGCCTTGTTGATGATTTTAACATTGTATCTCATGACCCAGAAGAAATGGTGTGAGGGTCAAAGGGCTTCAAATAATTGCCTTTCTTCTTTACAAAGTGTTAATAGTCATAATTATACAGAAATCAAACACTTCTTTTAATGAAGAGATCCCATAAAGAGAATGAAAAGTCTAGCCACAAACCTGGAGAAGGTATCAGTAACCATGTAACCTCTACAGGATTAGCACCCAGAATATATAAAAAATACAAATCAATAAGAATAAGGCAAACATTCCAAAAAAAAAAAAAGGGGGCAAATGACAGACATAGGAATTTCATAGGAGAGGAAACATGAGTTATTACTAAACACATCAAAAATTTGATCTAAGGTTTGGCCGAGTGGAGCGATGGTTAAGAACTGGCTTGGAATGCCAGAGGGCCCCGGTTCGGATCCCACATATGAGGGCCAGTGACACTGCCCTCTACAGCTAAGATGCTGAACAACAGCTCAACCTGGAGCTGGGCTGCCGTGAGTCGCCGGCGACGGCGTAGGCTGCAGCCCCTGTGGCACTGGATTGCCATGGGCTACCGTGTGTAGCCAGCAGCCAGCAGCCAGCGTGAGCGGCCAGCAGCCGCAGTGAGCGGCCGTCCAGAAGCCGGCGACTGATGTGCCTCGCCCGGGAAGAGCGCAATGATGGTGCCAACTTGGGCCAGTGAAGCAACGTCCTCCACAACTAGACTGAAGAACAAAACGACAGCAACTTGTCTGTTCCCCTTCCCCCAATTCCCCAGCACTGTTCGCATCCCCCCAATTCCCCAATAAAAATCTTTAAAAAAAAAAAAAAGTTTGATCTAAGAAGTATTGTTGAAGACACAATTTAAGGCCACAATGAGATGGAATTGTATATGCACTGGACTGGCCAAAATGAACAGTCTGATAATCCTAAATGCTGGAAATTACGTGGAGTAATGGGAACTGATAAAAACAGCTGGTAGGAAGGTAACATGGCACAACTACTTTGAAAACAATATGGCTCTGTCTTGTAAAGATGAGCTTGTTACCTACCCTATAAACAAGCAATTTAAAGGCATAGACCCTACAGAAAATTTTGTACATGTTTATAGTAGCAAAATCTGGGAAATGTCCAAAAGTCCATTGGTAATAAAAAATATAAATATATTGTATGTTCATATAATGCAGCATTGAACAACAGCTACATGTGGTAATATGGATAATTCTTGGAAATATATTGAAAAAACCAGGTCAAGACTAGTATGTCATGTATTGTATTTTATAAAATTTTAAAACAAAGGAAGCCCTACAATCTCTCGTTTAGGAATACAAAGCCATGTGAGAGAACTATTTTAAAAATGCAAGTGATTGTTTCTGAGGACAAGGAGGGAGGGGGTACCCTTGGTGAGGAGCACACAGATTCGAGAGTATTGCAACTTTAGACCTTCTGTTGGCTGCTAGAGTCACATGAATTTTTCTTATTATAATGATTCATATTTTACAAAACATGTTACTTATAGTCTTCTGTATGTATTATGTATACATAAAACATTTTTTTAAAAGTAAATTGATTATTTTCCTGTTAGTCAAAGGGCAACCCAAGAACTTTATGTAATAATGTGAGGCCTTCGTTTCTTTCCGTGGTTATTACCTAACCTTGTGGTGACATTTCCTGCAGTGTCCTTGGCTTCCCTGTGTGACCTGAAGCCCGAGGAGGAGCGCTGTGACACCTCCAGCCGCACCTATGTGCAGTGTGATCTGACTGTCACTGTGGGGACACAGAGACTGCCTGAATCATGGCCTTACCTCTACATTTGTGAAGAAAGCGTCCAATGCCACTTTCCACGAGATCACGGGTCAGAGTCGGTCTTTCCATCATTCTCAGGCCTCTTCATCAGGTAAGCCTGTACTTGCCTGCCCTGATCTTCCCCACGAATGCATGGCCAGTGAACTGGTGGAGGCAGCAGGAACTGTGGGCTGGGTGGACATGGGACCATTCCACTGTGGATTCCAGCCAGCCTGCATATCAAAGCATCTCCTGTCTTTTCAAGTGTTCAAGAGAACATCTGAAAAATCTGCCCAGTAAACAGCCTGCTTTGTTCTTGCTTAGATTTTAATATTTATCTTCTGATCCAAAGCAACATCTGGTGAATGCCAATGGGGAAAAAGATTAGACATTATGAAAAACAGAAGGCTCTTTTCCCCCTTTCCTTTTTCTTTTCTTTCCAAACAGATTCGCAAGTATGAAAAAAAGTCATAGAGAAATCCAGCAGATTGTACAATGTTTATTCAAAGGAAAGGGGGATGCACAGGCGGGATTACTATAGGTCCAGGATTTAGAAGCCGTAGTTTATAAGGAGTCTTTGAACTTTAAAAGCAAACAAATACCATGACTTTCCAGGTAAAACCCCCTTTTCTAAACAAATTAAAAAAAGAAAAGAAAAGTGTGACCATGCTGGTAACTCTGGATGGCCTTAATTTCCACAAGCATTTATTTTCCTATGCAGTGTCATTTTTTTTCCCCCTCATGGCTTAACATGGCCCGACATCCTTCTTTACTTCTTATCTAGGTAGAGTGGTTATATCTGATTATTTAACGAAGGGCTATTTTCCCATTTTAAAAAAAATAAAGCTAAACAAGACCAATGTCCCAGAATGGAGGGGCTAACCAGTCCTTTTCATGGCAGTCTGATTTTTCAATGTCCTGAGACTGTCTGTGTGTTAGTCTTTTGCCACTCGAGGTGTGTGTTTAGTCAGAGGAGCCTCGTTGGCTGGTTGCTTTCTAGAATGACATGGTAAGTCCTGTTTAGGTCACAGAGGAAATAGTGTCCTGGAGGTTATACTCAGGTGAGACTGGATTTCAGAACTCATTGCTGCTGGGCACCAAGAAGCACATGTCAGCTGTTCCTGGCTCCACAGACTTCGTGGGTTTTATGTAGATTCCCAAAAACTCACCCTTTGGAGTTCTTCTGAGTCCTTTCTAGACACTCTGGGAGGTGGCAGGGGCAACTGAGCCTCAGAGCCCATTAAAAGTTATGCCCTTATCTTCCTGATGACAAATAAACACATTAAAAACAAAACAAAACAACAAAAAAGTTATGCCTTTACTTATGAATATCATTTTGAAAGTGCTACTCAATGTTTTGGATATTGAAGCAGGCAAAGGTGGGTGTGTTTTCTTAAATAAGAATGAAAGTGGGCCGGCCAAGTGGTGCGTTGGTTAAGAGCTGGCTTGGGACGCCAGCTCTGAGCAGCAGGGCCCTGGTTCGGATCCCACATATGAGGGCCAGTGACACTGCCCTCTACAGCTAAGATGGTGAACAACATCTTGACCTGGAGCCGGGCTGCCGTGAGTTGCTGATCATGGCGTAGGCTGCAGCCCCTGCGGCAGTGGGCTGCCATAAGCTACCGTGTGTGGCTGGCAGCCAGCGTGAGTGGCCAGGAGCCGGTGTGAGCTGCTGTGAGTGGCCGTCCAGAGGCCGGCGACCGATCTGCCTCACCCGGGAAGAGCACAATGATAATACCAACATGGGCCAGTGAAGCAACAGCCTCCACAACTAGACTGAAGAACAAAAGGACAGCAACTTGTCTGTTTCCATCCCCCAATTCCCCAATAAAATCTTAAAAAAGAAAAAGAATGTAAGCAAGTGCCCTGCGAATTAAAGAAACGAAGCTTAGACTCAGTGTTGAGTGTGAGTGGAATGAGCACTGCTCTTTACTGCCCATGAGAAGGGAAATTAGTACAATCTATAGAGGACACTTTGACAATGTGTACTAATCACCTTACGAGTCTTCGTGCTGGGGAGACCCAGCAATTTCACTTCTAGGGGTTTATTTTTAAAAAGCAGCTAGAAATATGGAACACTTATGAAAAACCATGTTCTTTGAAGTTTTAGGTATAATAAAAAAATGATATGAAATAAGTGTTGAATAATAAAGAAGGCATGCAAATGATAATTTACCAAGAAACTTTTAAAAATCATGTTGTAGAATATTTAAACCAAAGAAGGACATGCTTACAATATATTGGGAAGTAAAAGGTGTGGGTCACAAAATATTGTATTAATGTAATCCTTATGGTGTATATAATATATGTATTTGTGTACACATATACTAGGTGATTAGAAAAAAGTCTGGGAGGATGTATTCTAAAACATTGATAGTGCCTATTCCTAGGTGGCTGTAGTACTGATCATATTTATTTTTGTTGTTGAGTTTTTAGGTATCTTTTTCAGTGAACATGTACTAATTTAATAACCAGAAAACATACTGTAAATTATACAAGGGGCATTAAGAAAATCATGTGCCAAATGGCTAACTTTGGTCCCTCTTAAAATTATGTGTGTGAACCCAGAGAACCTTCCAGGAACTTTGCAAGGAACCCACTTCCATTACATGCTTTATCCGTTTGCCAGCTACTACCACCATGGATGTGATGTTATTTGGCAAAGGTAGACATGTGCATTTGTGGCAAAAATATGTCCAGTCCATCCATTTATCCATTCCTCCATCCTACCATCCAGCCAGTATTTATGAAGCCACTACTATGTTCTGGGTACTGTGTCAGGAGCTGTTGACTCCATGATGAATAAGACAGCAAAGTCCCTGCCCTTAAGGGTAAAAGAGAAAGCCAGACAATTAACAAGATGATCACATGTTGTGATAAGGGCAATAAAGTGATAGAAAATAATGGGGGGCTACTTTACACAAGTTGCTCAGAGGGCTTCTCTTAAGAAGTATCTTTTATGCTGAGCTAAGGAGAAGAAGGTGTGACTATGGAGAGTCAGGCAGTGGGATTAGCAAATGCAAAGGACCTATCAAATTTTATGAACTGTCAGAGGCCAGAAGGGCAGTAGAGTGAGAAGGAAGAAAGATGGCTCTAGGTGAGCTTGGGGAGGTATGTAAGGCCTTGAAGGCCATATTAAGGTGTTCTGATTCTCTTCTAAGAACAGATTAAGTATCTTTAGAAAGTCACACAGTCAAGCCTTCGCAGTGCCAGAACTGGAACTCAAGGCTTCTGACTCACAGTATACTTAGCACGACGCCATGATGTCAGCATCAGTAATGAGAACCTTGGCTGAGCTGTGTGTGTTCAATGAGATTTCAGAGCTGTAGGAAGCAATTTCAGGCTAAGTGAGGGAGATAGAATGACTGCAAGAGTTTTTATTGCCTATCCTAGAAGAGTACATTCAGAAAGACTACCTGCTTACTTTTGGATCTGATCAGACCAACTGAAAAAGGAATAGATTAGGGGTCAGGAAACTTAGGTTCTAGAACTCTCTTTGCTATCATTTAGATAAAAAATTTTTTAATACATTCCCCCACAATAAATATTTGTGTGTGCGTGTGCATGCACATCCATATCACCTATATCTATGCATCTCTATATACACATATGTTTATATTTATATTTAAATCTGGCCAACTGCACTACTTCATTAGTACAATTATGGCATATATACATGGAATACGATACATGGAATAGTAGCTATTAAGAAACTTTGACATTTTGTAAATGTTAGACCGTTTTTGATATCCTGGTGTTCTGCTAATTTTGATGATAGCTTTTTAATGAAAAAAAAAATCTCTGGTGAGATAATCAGGGACAAATACA